CATTCCCAGCGTGAGGTTTGACACCCGAGACTGTAATGCTTCTCCCATGATGTCTTTGATATCCTTCTTGGAACTCGAAATCATTGGCGAGGTCCAGGGAGCAGAAGAGGGATTAGATGACGATGCTAGGGCTTGTTTTTGGTTTCGAATGTTTGCCCTGGACTCAGACGGGGACTGCGCAAGTAGCGGGTCTCGCGGGGAAGACATCTGATCCTTCAAGAAACCAAGATCTCCCAAGGACTCAGCGTCTGGGACGCTTGCCCCCAAAGCTGGGGAGTCAGGGTATGATGGATTTTCAGGTATGCCGTCTGTGAACCTGAGTCCACGCATGGCGCCCTTACCTTTCGAATTACTTGGCGACATAAGAGCCTCGTCGTCCATTTGAAACATGAGATCCCCAGCCGACTGCCTCGGTTTCAGCATTGGGCTACTACCAACATTTGGTGACTCCCCGGATGCACCGGTCTTCCCTTTGCGTACAGAAGGAGATGAAGTGGCCTTCTCGCTAGGCGTTGACCGAGCTGGCGCATCATAATCCTCGAGATGACCAAGGCGGGACTGCAAAGCCATGGCATCGATCCTTCGTTGCTTATCTGCTTCCACAGAGCTGACAATTTCGGGGTATTTCTCGAAGACATACTCCTCGGAATTGCGCCCACGGGATATGGGCCAGCATGCTAGCTGATTCTCGCGGCAGATCAGATCCAACTCCCAAAGGAGAGTATTATCCAAATCTTCGAGATATCTATTAGCGAGCATAGCCTCGAGATTGAGACAGATATATTCCAGGGCGGCATCCTTGAACTCTGTGACACAGCAAGGGGCAATGGAATTGAGCAAATAGCACACGTTGCGCGTTGTGACAAAGCGGCCGAGCATCTTCTGGCACACTTGAGATAGTCGGTCGATCATCAGCTCATTTGCTACGAACATTACATCCAGAAGCAAGTCAATGAAGTCATCAAGATCTTTGGTGCGAACTTCATCAAACAGACGTTCCTCTGTATCGGCATATAGGTAACGCAGGACAAATTCAAATGTCGAGCGATCAATGTGCTTTAGATCGACATGCACACTCTGGTCTGATTCGGATTTGCGCGAGTCTAGCCACCTTCCACCCGCATAACCATGGAAAAGAGTGTCAAAGAACGGGCATCTCTGGCACACCACTTGGCTGTGCACTTTGATTGTATCGCCTTTGAGCTGGACAGTCAAATCTGCGCTTTCAAATAAGAATGAGTGGTTGATGGCATGAGCCATATCTGTTTTCAGGCTTCTTTGCGGCTCGACCATTAGCCGTGCTGCCCGCTCCAGCGCTGGCAGACCTAGTTGCATAGAAACCCGCATAACTTCAGTGCGAACTTGCCGGAAACGGGCCGAGTTTGCAGGTGAGCTCCTTGCTAGGCGCCAAACGTCGAGAACGCCATCTGTGTAAAGGAAAAAGACCACATTCATAACGGTCAAGGAATCGACACCTTGAAGGCGGATCTGGGCATGCCCGTCCTTCCCGTATTCAATATAAAAAACGTCTGGGAGAGATGAATAATACGACTGCCGGAACTCGGCCAATGCCTTTCCCAAAATAGGACTACGACCAGCTATAAGAAACTCATGAACAGGAATGCAAGAGTCAGATAGGGAGCTGGTCAACCAAACAGTCCCCTCGGTCCATACAGGAAGGAATTGGCTTTCAATATCCGAGGATGAAAGTATGGCTCTTTGGATACTTTTTCCGGAGGAAAGCACAAGAGGGACATTCTGAGCGTCATCATCGAGGACAGAGTCCAGCTCTTCCAGGCCTGGCATTGTAAATGGGGACAACGGCAACATATCATCCCAAAGGCTGCTTTGCTCGACATGAATTTGTTCTCTAGTCACTTCACACTCACGTTGAGCGATAGCATAGGCCCCGAAGGCATTGCTGCGCACTGCCACTGCCCGTGAGAGACCAGGTATGCGGGCAAATTTGTAGTCTTCGGAGGCTCCCTCCTTGTTCTTTGTCCGCCGTTCCTTTCTCCACGCAGATCCAGATGTTGCACAAATGATGATCGAACCGTCTTGTCCGACATCAACATCACTCGCTGCCATGTATGATTTCTTAACGGACCATGCTCGAACAGGGGTAGCTAACGAATTCCGAATCTTTGCGGGATTGGTCGTGGATGTTGAAGCCGAAGAATTATCGGACTGGTTGACTTGAACGGTGAACACATCACCAGAGCTGGATAATGCACATATGGTGTTGCCGCCACATACAATCTTGACAACACGATTTGCAGTCTTGTCGTATCTGGTTACCATGAAGCTATCCCTGATAAACCTGGAGCTCACCTCCATTGGGAACGAGAGTTTTGAATAGCCATATGACGAGAACACCCAGACTTCGTGGTTCTGAAGAAGCACAGACGTAGCACGGTCAATTGCGGACACCATCTTGATTGGACAACTGAAAAGGGATGCCCCAACACGCCGTGGTGTCGTCTGTACCTCAAGCGAACGCGCATCGGAATCGACCAAGCCAAGCTGACCTTCGTTCTTGCCAAACGTATAGAGACCTGAGGTACTGAAGACCACCGAGTGAATAGATGACGCTGCTGCGCCTATGATCGTTTCTTTCTTGAACGGGTTGAAGATCTGGCGAGGAGTCGTCTGGATGGGAATGTCGTTTTTGTTGCTAGTCCTGGGCAGGCCATAGCCAAGTTGTCCGAATTTGTTGCTTCCCCAGCTGAAAATCTCGCCCTCCTCGGTAATTGCCAGGCTATGGTCTTGACCCAGAGCAGCGGATACGACTTTCTTCCCCTCCAGACCACCAGTTTCGATACAAACAAAGGTGAAACGCGTGGACTCATCTCCTGTTCCTAGGCGCCCTCCAGGTCCAAATCCACACATGAACAGATTAGCCTCAGGGTCGTCTGTGATTATGGCGGTATGCAGTTTGGACATGATAATGTCTTGGAATTTTATTGGCTTGTTTCTGATCAACGTGGGCAACTCGGTCGATTTGCTCTTGGGGACATTATCCTCAAGCCCTAAGTGTTCTAGTTTCTCTTGGTATTCACGATAAAATCGGTGCAAAAGATGTCCGGGGCGCTTCAAGGAGATGCGCTCAGGAAACTGTCTGTCATCCTGATCCCCTAGACCAAGGTTCAGGTTTTTGTTGCTTCCGAGTGTGAAAACTTCATCGGCGGAAATATCCACGGCCCCCTTCAGGACACTCCTGAGAGCGTATGGCCCATCTTCCCCATCATCTCCAAAGTTTGAGGCAGCGTTGGAAGCAGTATCGCTACCCAAAACATCATCATCAAGGTCTGAGTTCGGCCAGTTTCCAGAGATATGCTTAATGTCGCGGGCTCTAATAGTCGCCCCGAAGACGTCAAAGGGACTGCAACCCTCACGGTCCTTGATCTTGATAAGGCCACCACTCGGATGACTCGTATTTCCACCTTTGCTGAAATCTGTCATGTCCTGTAGGTCGCGCGCCATGAGCGCCAGAGCAATTGTGGCGTTTCCGGCGTAAAGAGCCCGATGCAGAGCCGTCCATCCACTCTCCCAGTCCTGCGCATATATATCGATAAATGGAACTTCCAACAAAGCGCGAGCGAACTTGGAGGCGGTGGGTTTCGAGGACGAAGCGACATGATGCAGCAGTGTACGACCGTAATGATCGCGGGCATTAACATCGGCACGCGACAAATTCACGCTCCCGCGGGGGAAGGCCGCCCGGTCAGGCATAGAGGACGAAGGCGATGATTCGATATTCTTTTTACTTCTCGGTGGGTTCGGGGACGAGGCAATCATGGACCCGGGGCTTCCAGCCTTCGATGACAGATTTGTCGCAGATCTGGACGTGCCTCCAGAGCCTCCTGCAGCTCGCGGCCCCGCGAACGTCGCGTTCGCCAGAGACCGCTGGAACCGCTCGACATCGTCTTGAATGAAAAACTCCCAAAGCTTGTTACTCATGTGCCCGGAGTGGTCGACGCGCCGAATCTCTTATCAGGCCCAATCTGAGCGTCGCCGTCACGACAGTGGGGTGGACCGCGACGGGGGAGCTGACAAGAGAGCCCTGGTCTGAGAGGAAAGGATAAGGGTTGTCGACGCTATGTAGGTCGACGCGATGTCGGTATCACAAGTTTTTTGATCGTGGATTTGACGCGAAATCGATTGTGGGTTCGGAGTCTGCGCGTGTGGCGAAAGTGCGTACTTGGCGGGCAACTCGAAAATCTCGAACAACAGGAGTGAGGGGCTTTTCGACGGGGTTGGAAGATGTATAATGAATGTCTCGAGGGAAGGAGCCAGATGTCGCAGGTCGCACTTGCCAGAAATCCAAGCGGCTTGCCCTCGATGTCATCCATGGATCGTGGAGCCGCGGCACAGTTGAAAATAACGACCTTCGGGTAAAAAACCACGTATACAGTAGTACATCTACATCGGATACCCCGGGTCATATCGGGTTTGTCGCACTGCTCTGAATGTGTCAAAGCATGCCTTTGAAATGACTCTGGAAGTATTTAGAATTTTAAGGGTACAGTGTACAATGTTCACAACCAAGTATAGATCAGATATATCAATAACCCTCACTTGACTAAGTAGACCTCGGGAGAGAATGACTTGAGTAATACAAAAGATTCAGGAGCCCATAGACTGAACAAACTCTCGCAGCTTGTAATTTGTTATCAGCTTCCAAAGTAATGTATATTTCCAGGGCCCTCCAAGTAATTGGGGCAATGAAGCCAATGAAGCCATCCATACCATTACATAGGAATCTGTATTATGTGCCTAAGTGGACGTTATCACCTTCTGTATCTTTATTCTAACCAATAACGACGCGCACGTCCCTCCATGCCCCCGGACGAGAGGCGAGGATCATCCAGGGCAGAGCCCGTGGGGAAGTGATAGGATGATGCACATTTATGTAGGAACTATGCTGTATGCATGACATTTCATTTCATTCCGAATTCCTCTAGAATTGCCTGGTGACGCCGTCCGTGCCACACCCAGATCTACATCATAATCTTTCGGCCAGTTTCCAGGTCCTGAATCCCTTTCTTCAGCTGGGCACGTCGCCGGCTCAGCACCGCATTCTCCCCCGCAATCTCCATAAGCTGGTCTTGCGCCAGATCCGCAACAAATTGGGGCGAGAAGAGTCCAAGCGGCTTTCGTGGTCCGGTGAGCAGACAGTAGCCGGTGGCTTGCATGCAGATATTGTCGATGAACCGCTTGGATGCCACTGCGTAGTAGGCCGCCAGGGTATCATGGATGTAACGAACGGTGCGTTGGGTGTTGGTCATTGGGGCGTTGCTTATTGGGGCTTTTTTCTTACCCTTTACAATCTCACACTGCTCCTGGTGGCTGGTATAACAGTTTTAGTATAGTATTCTGTCCATAGATCGAATGGATCAGTCGAACACACTTTCTATTTTGAGCTATGCCGAGCTTATGTTGAAATTCGTTGTCCAAGGTCATCAGGTTCGTGTGCTCGACATCGAGAATCATCTGGGCCTGGTCCATCGCTTCCCTGTACCTCTTGGACAGTTCATCGACGAGAATATTCACTAACTTGTCGCGGATTTGTTCATCTGGGCAGATGGATAGGAGGACTTTGAGAATGAATGTATGCACGATATCAACCACATCGCTAACATATCCGAGTGCAAGTTCGGTCCATTTGCCTGATTGCTTGTTCATTATGGTGCACAGTAGAGATGTCTGGAATGTTCCCATCTCGAATCCGCGGGAAGCAAAATATTTATCCTCGATCCATGCGAGTATGCTATCGTCTGCAGGCTTCCTTATGTTCACTTGTTCCTGGAGAATACCATCAATGGCGCCACTGTGCTCTGGCAAATTCATGTTCTTACGAACAGGGATCCCATCCGCCTTCTCATCGTCATCATCGCTATCAGATTTAGATTCAGGTCTAACTTCTGCGGAACTGGGCTGCTGTGTTCCTGACTCCCAACGAAGAAATTGATACTCAAATCCATATTCTTCCATGTCGGACTTGAAACCATCCATGCGGTTTCTTACTATTGTGACGAGTCGAGTATCTTCGTCTTTCTCAAACAGTTCCTGTGTGCCATAGGAAGTTGCCATAGCCTGCGAGACAATGTTTTGAAACTTAATTATGATGTCGACTAGAAAGCTTCTCTGCTGCTCTGGAGTACTTCGCTCAATACCAAGAGCAGAAAAATCCTGCTTCATGGCCTTCAAGTTTCGGCCAACCTCGGCGCGCATCTACATATATAGTTAGCCAGATCTACGAATAAAGTAAGAAAAGGAAGCGACATGCCTTGGGATACTCTCCGCGAACTTGGGTGGTTTGCACATCTTGTAAGCGGATCTTGAGAGCAGCAACGCCAACTTTGTCTTTCGGAAGGTCGGTCCATGGGTGAACTTCACGGAAGAACTGGCCCTCAACCTCGTCTCGGTTGGAGTTCTGGTCAATTAGCTGCTGTTGACCGGCATTGCGCACAACAATCCAGCCAAGCTTCAAGGAAGAGGTTTTGCCTTCCACCAAGTCGATGACCTTGTTCTCGGCACCCTTGTCTACCAAGTCAGGTTTGGTGAACACACCCTGCGTGCGACTTCCCTCGGGATCACACTCACGCGCCATCTCCAAAATCTCTTGTGTGGCTATGTCCAATCTGCGAGAACCACGGTCAGCATGATAGAACGAGGGTTGCGCATGTAGCTGAGGACCATATCCTTCACCATTTCCATATCTCTCTAGGTAGTGAGACCATCTGTGGTGTTCTTAAAAATGCCTGGGACATCAATGATGCTCAAGTTCTCTTCTTCGGGACCACAAATCTCTAGCCGGAAGACGTCTTGGGTGAAAGTAGGCTTGAAGATTTCCTCCTTGGAGCACGACAGACCTATAGCCTGGTGAACCTATAGATACCAGTGAGTAAGGACTCAGCTATTCGTTTCTTCAAGTAGCGAGGCTTACTTCACGCACTGTTCCAGCGAAGGATTCGAAATCGAGAGACTCCATATTGGTTGCTTTCCATGCTGCCAGATGGGAAGCATGCCCCGCGCTCTTATCATATGCTGGAACAATAGAGGCACTGATACTTCTCTTTGTGTCACACCTGGTACGCCGAAAGATGATATGAGTAGCAAATCGTGTACAAAGCCCACTGTCTCTGGGGAACGGCAATTTGGTAAGACCCCTCAAGAACAGATCTTTTGCCACTAGATTGGTCTCCTACAACAACAAGCTGGGGCAAGTTGACATATTCAGCAAGGTTACAAGCAAGGAGCCGGTCAATCTTGTCCAGCAGCACTGGGTCACCGAGCCCTTGGCCAGGC